TTCCTACCCCTTTTCCATTTAGACCATTGTTCTCAAATTAAAACTAAAACAATTACCTGTCATTTCCAAACTCCTTAAGTGATTAGGAAGGAGGAAAGTATAGCTTAAAACTATTCAAATCTTAGGGCTCAAATCTTTGGAAGCTAAGGATCATTAGGCAGTGTTTTTGATCCTTTACCAAACATATGCAGCATAGGTTACATTTAAATATAAGTACTCTGAGCTACTGTGCTTTTTACAACTGCTAGTACAACTTTTTTCCAATTTGAAATTAAATTATAAATTTTTTTGGGATTTTAGAAAACTCATGCACGATTTATTTTTCCAACTCCGTCTTTTTTTAGCAACTAACTGTCAGTGTAAGATCACACAATCGTTTACAAAAAATATATAGTAAATGCGCTGTTTATTGAATAATTTGAATATGTAATTACCATTTAAGCGAGGTTCGGTGATTTTAGTTTGAGGGCATGTTTTGACTTTACACCATTATTGTAACTCGAGATATCAAATGGAGTGCTAGTGAAATTAAATAGCTCGTAAGCCTTTACCACGGCAAAAAAAAAAAAAAAAAAAACAGAATTCCGCGACCCCAAAAAAAATATATATGTATACCTTTGAACGGATAAATCTACTTTTATAAGTCCCTCGAAAGTTTTCCAACTCATTCTTAAATCTTCCTCAAATTGGTCAAGTCGGTAGGTAGCTTTTAATTATCTCTTCGTACCAATTTTTTTAACGTTCCCTTTGTTTTTTGTTTGTGCATACAGATGATTAATTATTATCACAAATTTATCACTCTATTTATATGGTACAATGTAAGGGATAATGATCACTAAAATTGGGTAACACACAATATAATATGATTTTGTATCGTCGTATGAAACATGTTTAATTTGATTTGAGTGCAAAGTAGTATAAAGAAAAGGTGCATTAATTTGTTCTCAAAATCCTAGGGAAATGTAGCATATTAAAGAATCAATATACTTACAGGACAAAAATGGGTCACTGGTAATATAGAAGAGCTGATGTGAATGGTAACATTTGTCCCTCTCAAGTGATACATTTTTTGCTAATTTGGATTTTAAAAATATCATTGACTCCATTCCTATATCTGCTGTCGATCAATGCATTTTCAGGGATTACAATACATACGTTTGCCAGAGTGCCGTAATATTTCGATATTAAACTGGATGTCTTGTAATCATTTCCTTCAATGCTGAGTTTTTTATTTCAACCACGATTTCATTAAAATATTTTGGGAAATCGCGGTTTACATATAATGAATAATAATTATTATTATAGTAATGATTATTAATTATACTTGTATATAACGTCAAAGTACCGATTAAAAAAATAAAGTACGGTACATTCAAATAATAATTAAGCAAATGATGAAGAGAATAAAATCAATTCCAACTCAGTTCAATTTCAGATTGACTGATGCAGGCAACTCACTTCTGTTATTATTTAAGGAGTTGGAAAATATTTGGTTGCAAAGACATGATATTCATGTGCACCGCGTATCAAAAAAGTGATATTTAATACAATTATATTTTGCTGAGTGTATAGCGACATGATGATAATAATGAAATTATTCATGCTTTGATGTTGCATCAAACATCAACATTGTTAATAGCATTTATGTACATTGTTGAAAAAGGGAAACACACATACCCAGCGAAGCGACTTTGCTGCTCCGCCTATTTCCAATTTCATTTCCATATCCATTGAAAGACGTTTCCTGCGATGCCCTTCTTGTTCGTGTCCAAGCTCAACGCCCATTGGACATTTACATGCAACAACATTGTCAATAACAATATCAACAGCAACAGCAACAGCAACAACAACAACGACAAGAACAACAACTGCAACGATGACAAGGCGACATTCGCATTTTAAACTTGTTTTTGCCACTTGCAGTGCAGTAGAGGTAATAAATGCGGGTGGCCATTGCACCGAAATCGGGGAATACGAATTCACTTTTATTGTCGCCGCACAGTGACCCAGTGTGCCCCAAATTTGCTTCAAAAATGAATAGTGTTGGAAAATATATGAAATTACACTTTAAATTGCTCAACAATTATTATTTCTGTGGTACAGCATTAGAAAATAGGTTTAATTTTTTTTAGGTACAATTACCATTTGTTTTGCTCCATTTCTTATGTAAAAATAGTTACGCCTACATCAGAAATCTTAATCATGCTTCTTATGAAATGAAAATGCGTGCAGCCTCTCCTTTATCAGAACAGAATGTAAAGTGCACCTCAAAGACAGCAGACATCATTAAATAATGGATCTCAATATAGAACAATAATCAGTAATTTTTAAAATAGTATATACTTCTTCTTCTTCTAATGGGATGCACCTTTTTTCCTGCGATTCCAGAAAATAAATTCATGTTGTTTTCAAAGCACAGAGCTCTCGAATGTTATCCATAGTACTACTTACTTACTTTGTACACATATTTCAATCACGTATCAACCAAGAACCTCTATGAAAGTATTCAAGGAAACTTTAATGAAGAAATTCGAAATGTACTGTAAATAAATTTGAATCCTATAATGTCAAGCATTTTCAAATTGCTAAAAAAAAAAAAAAAAAAACCCAAAAACAACATTCGATAGGTATTTAAAATTCGTTTACGATCCTCGATCGTTTTGATGTTCGGATGAACTTGCTGTAGGGGCGATAAGTAAAAAAAATATCACAGCTTTCACATTTACATATCTTAATACGCACGATATAATGCGAGATCTTATTTTACCTCGGCAAAATTATTTCAGTCTTAAGTTCTTTTATATTTTCATTAAAAGACAAGTTTTTCTCACAAAAGAATTTTTGAAGACTTTTTGTATCGATGAGTGCTGTGAATTAAATAGTTGAACAAAAAATATGTATACATAATATATATGTATATCAAGAAAAATAATTACATTTAGTTTAGGAATTTATAGTTTTGGAAATTGAAGCCAAAAAGTAATAATCACAAGCGATATCTCTTTAAATTGTGATTGTTGACTTGGTTTGTTGAATTGATTTGGTGCAAATATTAGATTCACAGGACCACTGTGCACCGTTATGCGAAATATAGACCTTCCGGTGCCCTTCTTAGTGTGACTTTGCTGAAACCCAGTAGCTTAAACTTAATTATTTGACGATTTTTGGAGGAACTATACAGACCTGTTATACCCAAAAAGCATAATGTCGCTCCTATCATCTAAGTTTTGACGTTTCTCAACCTTAAAAAATAGAGATGTTTCCATTCAACGATCATAAGAAGTACTTACAACTATGCTATATATAATTCAGATGAAATATTTTTGAGGCTTTTTTCTAATAAAGAAGCAATATAGGAGCAACTTGGACTCGGATTATCTGATCAACTGAGTTAATAACTAAAATAATGAAAAAAAAACTTCTTAACAAGCAAAAAAATGAAATTTTTTTCTCTGAAGTATAATTAAGCAATAAGTTTTCTTCTTGTGTGAACACTATATTACATTAAAACATCGTTAAAAAAATTCAACCGAAAACTGATTTCAACAACTCCAGACTCCAGAGGAGGCAGCACAGGTAAAACAGTATACTTAGTAGCGACAGTTCAAAAAATAGATTGGGATATATTGTTGACAGGAGAGGGAATGGTTTGATCGGATTTCCGTTCGGTACGATGGGCGCACCTTCTCTGCCAGCCACACACCACGGCTCCTTCTGAAGTAGATGAGGATATGTTGAGCGAATCTTCTGAGGAATCTATCAGATTCCCTGTCTTAATGGCTTGGCAATCATCTCCATAATATTTTATCACCTGATTATCATTATTGTTAGTGCTTACTAAGTAGTGTTTAGTGGATACACCACAAAGCATCTGAGAATACGAGTCCACCATGCACTTTACAAGCTGGGAGCAAGAAAAATTCCTGAGACAAACTAAATTCTGGTATATTGCCGAATTTATTACATATAATATCATTGAAAGAAAAACCATCATTTGAAAAACGAAATATATTTACAAGTAAATACTTTGAAATACTTAACCCAACCGACTTTCCCACATAGAGTACGCTAAATATTATAAAAACTTCTAAAAGAAAATAAACAATTTCTTCAGCTCTTTTCAACTCCATTGCAGCACAATTTATAAGAAACTGAAACTCCCATTATGTTAATTTGAGTCCCAGAAGACTTAGTCCCTTCGTGGAAATTATACACTGCACGCATTTCCCGAAAATATTACAGTGAACTTATTCTACAAACAACTTTTTCTGGAGCTACTAAATGATGTAGCCGAGTCGACTTACCTGTTTTCGTTAAAAAAAAATAAGTACAGACGGATGGACAGGAATAGCGAGTACGTCTTATATATATACAAATTTAATTGTGCGTCCAACTTTGTACTACTTGTAGTCGTGAGTATTTGCTCCTCAAACTAACTGGACCTACATTTAGTAATTAGTCAATGAATGACAGTACTTTTGATCCCAGATACAATTCCACTTGTCCAATATAATTTGTGCATAAATAATGCGTGAAAGATCTTTCACAATTTCAATAAATAAGTAATAGAAACCGATAGTAATACTATCTGTACGACTACATTACAAATATTAATTTATATTAATAACCAAATCCAATCCAAATGTATGCATAACTTTGTTTTTGTAATTTTTTTGTTTTTCAAATATGTATATACCCATACCTGTTTTTTTCCAATAAAGATGATATTTTTGGCCGATTGTTTCAATGATAGTTTTCCAGTTAGGTGATCTGATTACCCTCTCCGAGTCTTTAAAATTGGCGAAAATAAGGAAAAACCAATAACCGTTACGCATTACCATTCTTGTTTAGAAGTGGTGATCGGTGATTTGGCTTTTGCTTTAACTGAAGGTGGACCTTGCACATTTTTTTTTTTTGCCCCCAAATCCCAGCTTAGAAACAATCCTTTAAAGGTTCAGTTTTCAGAATTAAAGAACCGCAAATAAATAGATCTGAGCGAGTTAATTAATAAAAAGTTTTATTGTAACACATCTATCGCACTTAAAATATAAACGTTTTCATTTCATTGTTGTTTGTATTATTTAATTATTTGCAGCCCTAATGCCGCGCCACATATGAATAGCTTTTACGGATGTTAACAAAAGCTGAAATCCATTCAATTAAAGGACATTTTGTATTTTGATTGAATGTTGTCAGGCATTTGTTCACTTGTTTTCAAATGTTGTTGTTCAAACGATATATTTAAAGTGTTGCACATGTATGTATGTATGTATATACATAAGTGTGTGTATGTACTACATATGATATATATGCACAACTATATGCCCCTATATAGTAGGAAGTAGTAGTTCTCATTGATATGCTTCCGATATTGCTTGATTGTCGCCTTTTCGCTCGCCTTAATATTTACATTAAGTAAAAATTTTTGATTCTGTTAATATTAGTTTAGTTCATATGTATGCTCTATATTAATGTATATATGTGTGTATATATACTATAAATTTATTTCATGTATTCGAAATGTTCGTCATTGTTGCGCAACAAGGAAACGAACGTAAGAAGAAAACATAATTTATGAATTTCTGTTTTATTTACAAATTTTGTTTACCACTTTTTATTAATTGATTATACCTCCTCCTAATATTCCTCAACTCTTTTTGCATTACAAACAAGTCAACATAACATTTAGATTAAATTATTAGCAAAGAAAAAAAAACACACTCGTACATAATTCAAAGTTGAAGTTATGGGCGCGTTGGCATAGAGGCTTAAACAAATAGTTATTTTTTTGTCATCCCTTTTTTTATGCATTTTCAAATTGAAGATTTTTCAATTTTTTTTCTTCTTTCTTTCAATATATGTATTTCTTAGATAATTTCTCATGGTAGATGTTATTGCATTTATGTATATTTCCCATTAAATAAGCGCAACTTTTTAAGTAGTTTTAAACTCAGAGCAGGCTGCGCTCAGCCCTTGGAGCTGCCGTTCTCCTCAATGTATACATTGCCCGGCTGCAGCGTCTTCAGAATGCGTCGCTCGTGGTGATTCTTGCCGTGTTTATCTGCAAAGAGCGGCATCAAACAAAGAGAGAGAGAAAAAGAGGGCATAAGTAAGTGAGTGGGCGCAGCGCACGTACTATAAATCACCGAGCCAGGCCCCACAAGAGCTGGGAGCTGTCAAATGTCGCTTTGACAGCGCAATGAGAGAATCCGTTTTAAAATTCAAGAGCATAACACACATAATTTACCTAACTGCAAGCACCAACTGAGGTAATGCAGCGGCCTCTTTTTTCTTTTATTCTTTTTTTATTGTACTGCTCCCACGACGTGCGCGGCAAGTCGAATAAAGTGCCAAACACTGGGGACTCCTATTAAAAGGCTATTGTCGCCGCACAAATTGTTTCTCTTTTTTGTGTTGAGGTGTGTGTACGAAAAAGTGTGTACACATTCACACACAATTTTGTCTTAACCCACTTTCCCAACCGGGTAAACGAAGGTGGTATTTTTACTGGAGCCTGTCTGTGTTATTAAGCTATCATCTCCTGCTGTAGATGCGAACATCGTAAAAGCGATTTAACTTTCTCTCTGGCAACCTAAAATTCACAACTATATTACCAAATCTCGTTTTAGCCAAAAAATAAAAAAAAAATAATATTTTAATCAACAAAAGTAATAACACAAAACATTATTTTCGCCATTGCAGGAAGGTTATACATTTATTTTCATTTAATCACATAATGACTATATGGGTCCGGATCACGTTATGATTGGTTGTTCTGAGACGTAAGCGAATCTTAGTACGGTAACTGGACTTTGTATATTTTAAGGAGTTCTTTTTTTCAATCCCTAACACAACCGAGACAAATACTAAATAGTAAACCAAAAGCGCAATTATAGCTACTACTTTTATTCACTTGATTTTTCTGTATCTCGTATAATAATTCTGAATATTTTCTTTGATATACGATCTATAAGCATTGGGTTAAGGCTGTCAAAAAGAAACGCCCACGGAACGTGCCAAGTGCTTGCCAAACAAATTCGTATGCAAATTTCAACACTTTAGCAAAGGCCAAAAATGGAAACAAAATAATAATAATAATAAAATAAAATGAAATAACTGAAGTACTGATGTATGTACGTTCAAGAATTACCATCGCCCTTGCCTTCTTTTTTTGTGTGGACACATGCTGGGTGTGCGTCTGCTTCTGCGTCTGAGTGTACGCCCCTAATGCCCAGTCGTGGCCTAGGCTCTCGACACACCCAAGATCGGCTCAGTATGTATGCTATTTACTTGTATGTCTGCCTGTTTGTGTGTATGTGTGTGTGTGTGTGTGTGTGTGTGTGTGCGTATTAAGGCCATCTCGAGTGGCCGCTGACGGTGCCCATTAGACACACTCTTGGTTCAGCTCAGATCAGCTCTGCTGGGCCCGGTTAGATCGGTCAAGGTTGACCTTTGACACTTACCCGGCAATAGCACATGTTGTGGCTGAAAGATTGCCGAACTGGCCGCTGTGTGCGTCGCCACCGCCGACGCCGTCGTCGCACTCATGCCGCGAAGCGCGTCCGCATTGCCTATAAAGAATGTGCCACCCTCCAGGCTCTGGACTTCGGCCAACTTGGCCATTAGTTTCGTTGACAGCTCCTCCACATCTGCAATGCAAAGAGTACAAATTTAACAACGGCCGGAAAATTTAGGTGATTCGAAGATATAGTATATGTATCAACAAGTCTTTCAAAATGAAAAAACAGAATTGTTTTAATTTATTCAAATTCATTTATCGGGTGTGTTTATCTTCCGAAGCCCTATACCCCTTGTAGCAGCAGAAAGGTACAAGGTGGGTACAGCATTCGATGTCTGCTAGAGTGGATTCAAATAGGAACAGTTGCTGCGATTATCAAAGAGAAATCTAAAGATTTCTTAATTAAAATTTTGTTTTCATTTTTGGATTTCGTGAACCCAATATTCCCATATTTTCCTCTAAAAGGTGGTGAGCACTGAACACAGTAAAGTGCTTGGCTAGAACTTAATTCAAATGACATTTAAAGCTGCCAACAATACCTGTATTGACCTATCAAATAAAGAGCACTCCAAAAAATACGGTTTTAAAAATAAATAATAAATAACTCCATCAAACTACTAGCTCTAGATATAAACGAAAAGCAATTTCTAGATTTATAACAAACTAGCAGGTCATGCCCGTCTTTGCTGGGCTAAGTATTTTTGCTTAAAATTATAAGTTTATTTACTAAGTACATGCTATTTCTCATCCGACATTATCTAAAGTTTCTTAAAGAACTACCAAATAGCTAATTACTTTGGTTCGTTTCGACAGCTACGGCATATGGTACAATAAATACTATGTATATGTATACATACATATGAATATTTATCTAGTACAAAAAAATGGAAGAAAAATCAAAAAAATCCTTCAAAGGAGTAATTTATAGAGAAACTCAAAAATTCTTTAAAAATTGTAAAAAAAATTCTGTCTGTCCAAACGCCAGGAAATTTTACAGTATAAGCCACGGCACTATTTTGAATATTGCCACAAAATTTGATCAAAATCGGTTGAGCGCTTTCGAAATATATAGGAACATACATAAATACATACTACTTTCATTTTTATATACATATACTTGTATGATTGATGAACTAATTAATGAATTCTTCGAAAAATGAAAATATGTATGTATTTCGAAAGATTTTCAGATTGCTCACCCAAAGTTATAAACAAATCTGTACTAAGTATTTTATTGTGCCTTTAAGTACACATGTACACTCGAAATCGAGTACATGGCTAAGCAGCTGGCGCATGTTAGGCATGCCTGGCTTTTCACGGAAAAATCATTGTACCGATTTTCTTAATTTGTATTACAAGGGAGCGAAGAAGCACTCACACTCTCGCGACTCGCAATAATTGTTTCCTTGCCACGAAATTGCCCAAAAACGAAACGAAAAAGGCAACAAATATACAGAAAACTCAAAGCTAATTGGACTGCGCAAATTCGAAATAATTTTTTTCAATTTTGTTTGTTTCTCGTACGCTCGCTTTTCTACAAAATTTTCCATGTCTGCTGGCGTGGTTTTCGCTTTCTGTGTGAATTTGCTGCTGAGATATTGTTTATAATAAAACGAAAGAAAAAGGCGCACCAACAAGTGAGGGTAGAGAAGAGTTGCGCTGAAGCTGTTGGGCAATGCGCGTGCAGCTTGATATGCACTCGGAGAAAAGAATATCAACTTCCTATTTCCAATTGCAGATGCCAGTTGTTTTTACTCACACTTTACAATATTTCTATACCCAAGAAGTCAGTAAAAGTAATATATTTAACCTAATACTCGATGTGGCCATATTTAATTAATTAACTAAAAAAACAAGTGGAAATAATAAAGTCATTGAAATACCCTGTAGATATGTGTAGAAAAGAACAAAAAATTTAAAAAACAACAATGAGCAAAATTGTGATTAAAACACAAAATATGTGACCCGAGTATACCTTCTTCGGGATTTAGGAAAAGGGTGTATGACTTCCAAGAACTACGGGAGTTATCACTAATAACGGACGAGTTGGGGGAAGGATGCGAATTTTTTTTTTCATTTCATTTTTCACTTTTCATAAAGCGAATACACTCTTGTACCTTTATACAGAGTATAACTAAAACGAATGAATTCTATATGTAGAAATAAATAAAAGACGAAAAAGTACAGATTTAGCTAAGTCTGCCTAAGGCATGAATTCACATTTTTCATTTTACATAAAGCTAATACACTCTTGTACCTTTTTACAGAGTATAAAAATATATGTATCGATCCTTTTAATTACCAACTAAAAATAGATATAGAATTTCATTTAATGAAATTCAAAGGTATATCCCCAGCAAGTCGGGTAAGCACGTCACTAGAATGTAACTGGTTTATACAACTTCGTCCAACAAATCCTGGCCTTACAATGCGGTCCTCTTCCTATTTTCAATTTCTGTTGTTCCCATTCCTCTTTTTAGTGACGAACGCAAGCCCTTCAATTATAATTTCATTGACGGATAGTTGCCATAGAAACTAAAATGAAAATCGTTTGGAAAATATTTCCGAGGAGCATTCATACCTTAGGAAGGCTTAGCTAAATCTATACTTTTTCGTCTTCTATTTAATTCTATAGAATTCATTCGTTTTTGTTCAAGTGTATGTGGTAAATGAATTTGTTTGTCAGTTTCTTGTTATTTGTTTTCCTCTCGCAGTTTAATTTCAGTGCGCACTGGCCAACCGCAACCCATCGCAGGGCGTTCCTCTGTTCAGTTCAGTTCAGTTTGGTTTATAAATAAATGATATATTGACTGTACCGTCAGTTTTGCCCTGTTGCCCCCCTTTGGCCCCTATGGCCCCCTATGGAACACTGATGCTCCTCCGGCACCCATGGGGCTTGTTTACAAGTCGGAAATGTACACTGCCGCTGCCGCTGCCGATTTCCTCGGCCGAACTTGACGTGATCTGCCAAATTTAAATAATATGTACAGCAACAACTACAATAAAGATAAAGATAATAATCGCCGAATTACCCATGTAGTAAAAGTATTTTTAATGCCCAATCGCCAATACTATAAACAATGAGGAATTAAAAACAAAACAAAAGAAGAACGAACATTATTTTTATTGGCCGCGAATTCAGTAGCAACATTGCACATTTATTAACCGTGCCAGGAGCAATAATAATAAATGTACTCGTATACAGGTGCTTGTATTTTTCCGCAGCTCATATTTTCCAGCGGGCGCAATTAACAGAAATATGGAAATATGTAAATATTGCTCAAGTGCAAGAAAACAAATTTGCGGAAAGTCTATTTTGGAAGCGCTGCAAGAAGCGTTGCAAGTGTGGCCTATTTAAAGGATTTTCTACTCTTTTCCAAAACTTAATAGCATTATTAATTGCCCATAGTTGTAGACATTCCTAATAGAGCAAACAGTCCAGGTTGTGCAACACGTCGTGCAAACGCAGGGGCAAACACAAGTGGTACCTCGCATGTGGCACAAGAAATTGGAAATTTTATTTCAGTTATCACCCAATGCCATATGTCGAATGGGCGCCAGGCCACAAGATCCAAACACATTCTTCCGGACATGTAAGTTAGGACTTAGGTGTTCTGGACCAGTTGGTCGCCTTCCGGTTAGCCTTTGTCAGAGTTTTCGCTGCCAAGTCGGGGAAAGACAGAACTTAGTTGCAAGTCCCACAAATGTTGAAGCAAACAGATGGCGCTTTGTTCAAAACATAAGTCCAGACATAAGTTTGTATTCGGAATTAGCTCTCACTATTTCTTTACCTATTTTATAGCCCATTGATTCAAATGTTTTCTGGACAAAGTAAATTAAAATTACATTCATAACAACTAGGAAGAAAGCCATCAGTTTTCCAATGTACGGGTAGTACCTTTCATAGACGACCCATCATACCTAGTGTAGACATACAGAAATGCTCATAATTATTGAGCAGAGAGTGGGATGTGTTAAGTGCCTTTAAAGACTTTATGGCTAGAGCGGAAAACACAAGCGAAATATAAAATAAAATGTATGCGAACAGGCACATTTAATAAATTTCTTTGGAATCTGGGAATAGCTCATCTAGTGCCTGGAAGCTAGACATCTCCACAGATAAGGCCAAGGGAGCGCTGGTCAGGATGGGGTATTTCAAGTAAAGTAAGCAGAGCCGAGCAGAGTACAGCAGCATTATTGCGAGGCATATCGACTACCAGGAAGATAAACGACATGAGTGTTGGTGTTGGTTCGATCGGAAACCGAAACATTTGTTTCTAATACTAATCGCCACTAAAGGTCAGAATCTTAAGCAGACTCAAGGCATACAGAATGTGCGATGCGTTATAATTTCCGCCCATGAAATTTTCTTTGAAGAGGCAAACGGTCGAGCCGACGCATTGGCGAGAAACGCGTTTCTTGGATGCAAAACACTTAGAGGATCATCTGCGACTCTATAAAATAATACTTGTCGATGGGGTCAACCAACAGGTTTCTGTCCCTGAGTATGTTTGGTTTTTTCATATACTATATATACAAGAATTCTTAATCAGCTTGGCAACACAAATCGAACTAGACATGTCCATGCGTCTGTCTGGATGAACGCCTGGATTTGGGAATCGGTTGAGCCCACATTAATCAGATTTAATATATGGCCAGCCCTTACTCCCAGGCAACACGAGTTTTCTTTATTAGAATTAAAATGGATCTGGCTTTTAACTTAGCGTAGCATATTCAGGCAAACCTATACAAGTAGAAATGTTCCGTTGCTGCAATGCATAAATATATTTGTTCGTTGCAAATTTTGAAGTTGAAGGAAACCATAAGCCGGTGAAAATTGTGTATAAACAGATAGGTTGGAGTGCGTAGAAATGCAAAGACAGCAATGTTTACCGAATTGTCAATGCATCGCCAGAAAATATAACGCACATGGCCAATCAGAGGCAGGATTTCGATATCCGCAATCGGCTTGAGGTGAAACATTTTTTCCAGCCAACGACGCGTCGGCAGCTTCCTGTACAAGCAGCTGGCCAACCATTTAATCATGTGTCCGTGTAAATCTTGATATTCGTATCATCATAGATGCCACTCATTTCTTATGCTCTGCACATCTAACGAAAAATCGGGCATCGGCCTCTATTTATAGACGACGCGCTGGCGGAAGCTGGCAAGCAGCCTCCTTCTTCTTGGGTTGTGCATTTTTCTTTTTTTCAGGCTCGGGCCGGCTTCTTGAGAGCTCTTAAGTGAAACTCATTGAGGGAATGATTGCGGTGACACTATTTCCATCAACACCTCTTGTTGTTATTGTTGCTGTTGTTGTTGTTGTTGTTATTCTTGCTGCTACTGCTCATGAACATGATCGGCTCTTACATGAAATTTAGACGCCAACGCAGACGCCTTTTTCATTTCCTGCTATTTTTGTTAGCATTGGGCATTGGGCCCTTCGTTGTTGTTCTCACTGCTGCGCAGTACGAGTGTTTTGTAACATGATTTCGGAATTTAATTACAAGCGAAGCGGAAGTTAACAGGCTGCGGTGTATTTGTTTCCGCTATCCAATCTATTGTTTATTTGTCCTTGACGAGCCTCTTCCCGTCCTCTTCATTACTATCGTATTCTTTTATCCCTGCTTCTTCGTCTTCTTCGCCTATGCCGTGACACTTTTCCAAATGTTACCCACGTGGTACGTGACTTTTTTTTACCTGGGAACGCCGAATCTCTTCAAACTCTAAGTACTCTATACTGGCACTTCAAGCCACAACTGCTTCCGGTTTCAAAGTATGAGCGCTTGTGTGCGAGCTGTAGGCGTGTCCCCTCCTTTTGTTCGTCTAATGAGCAAGTGTACGGATACTCTTCCCTCAGTGTTGCTGCAGCTATTTTAGTTTCTTGCTGGTGCCTCCATAAATTTTCTGGACACGCTGCACTCTGGGCACACTGCGTGGGCCGCTGACATGCGCTGAATTATGATTACCAGAGGCAAGACACTGTCAGCTTGGGCCTATCAAAACAAGGCATAAATTTTCCATGCGGCCTCTGGGTGGAAAGGCGCATACAGCGCGATTGGAAAGTGTGGAAAATCACGATCAGGCTGTTGCGCTGTTCTTTCTCGCCGGTCAGACAACCGAGGCAAACAAACTGGTCGCAACCGCTTTAAAGAGTGTTAAAAGGAGCGCTTGCTAGACACCTAACTGTCCGCTGGGGGAAAGCTATTTTGGGGCCAAACTAACTGGCTGATTGCTATACTCGTACTATATACTATATACTATATACTCGTAGCTTCGAGGTGCAGCTGCATTGCCAGCAAGCTCGAATAGTGGACACAAATTTTCAAGTGATGGCAATGTCTGATCGCCTAGAGCTAGCATTCTATTTCCACATTCACCAGAACAGCTCGTTTGCTTGCAATGCTCTAAGAATTCAATGGAATTTAAGTGAACGCTCAGGTAGACACCTTCGTAGCACTCTGAATTCACGATGCCAGAACTCTTCGAAAATATCATAGTAGCATAAACTCAAAGAATCAACCTGCCATATGAAGGCTCTGATAAATAATGTAAAAGCAATTTAATGCATGCAAGCATGCAGATTTTCTTTTGATTTAAGGATCCTTTTGCAACGAATATCTCGCATATTGCCCTGTGTAATATTTTTCTATTGTCTGGTGTCCTTTATACACAAATCCGATTGATACAGTTCAGAAGCATTTTACAAATCTTCCTTCACTTGCCAGCTAGAGAACCCTTTAGGGTATCGATAAGCTAATCATAGGAAATATGACAGCCCCTCATTGCTTGATTTCTGTTCCTCGCTGTAGTTCTAATTATGATTTGTTTGTATGCTACACACATCTCTATTAGATTGTTCAGCTCTCGAATAGACGATTTTGCTACTTATTTTGTATCTTTTGTAGAATATTACCCTTTTAATATGAACAAAATCCCGCATCGGATCTGGGCACATTTGTATTATTTATATAGCATATGTTTTTACTTTCAAGCTGGACGATTTCCTCAACTGGTTGCGACGTTTGTGAACGATTGAAAGCATTTCGGAAGAGTCACTTTAGTACGTTTATTTGAACCTTGCCAGGATTATGCAATTAGCATTCCCCATTTATACCACTATCTGGCTGTCCAGCTAAACACCTGACTGTCTGTATGAGCGCTCGGATATAAATTAAATATATTGGTATGGCTTCGTTAAAAATCGTGCTTTTAATTTAAATGTATCTTCCTTTAGATCTTGATAAATATATGCACTTTTCTATATAAACGCAAAAGTTTAATTTTAACCCAAAACTCATTGCGGGGTGTGGGAAGTGCATCAAAAACCATAATCACTACTTGATACGTCCCGAGATCCTTTATACAGACAGTTAGATTTCAAATAGAGAGCTTGGAAATATAGAGCTTTAAAATAGAGTGCTGAAAAATAGAGGTATGTAGAGGTGCTCGAAAACATTAGTTGAACTTTGCAATTGTGAAAATTCGTATTACTTTAATAATATATATACATATATATAATAATACTTAGCACAAACCTAATTTTGCACCTGGACATAAAGCTAGGCATACTTTTGTCATGTTTTGCTGCCGATGGAGGTGCGGAATACTTGTCAAAGCCCTTGAGTTCCCATTATGCAGGCGTTTCTCCTGCCTTCGAATTCTGTACGAGTAATAATTTTTTACACTTTTCTTGCTGGAAACACAACACAACATGAGTACAACTTTCCAAATATGCCCTCTACGTGGCTCCAGAGGCTTCATTATCAATAAAATGCCGCCAGCCAAAAGCCACAGTTGGCCCGAATTGGATGTACAACATAAATATTCATACAACATATACGGGTATATATAGTACATAAATATTATTGCATGTTTTGGACCTGAATTATGTGGCCGCGTGTGCAGCGAGTCTTTGCTTTTTTGTGTTGGTTGACGAGCTCCTTGTTGTTGGTTTCTGCTCTTGGTATGCAAAACATACGCGAAATATTTTGACGTTTCGTTCTACTTTGGCGCAGAGTCGTCGTTGTCTCTCGACTGGCCATTAATATGCTATTCAAGACACTCACACACAACGTTTAACACACACACATATGTAGATGGGACTTGCAGTGTTTCGCTGGAAATCTGCACATGCGCAAGGGACTCGCGTCTTTTGCGGGCCCCATTCATCTGGGAGCCGACCCTAGCAGGTTGTTTTTAGATTTCTACTAGAAATTAAAGCACACACACATACACGCCGCGCATTTAAAGCAGAAAACACGAGTGGCATTCAAACGCGTCGCGCATTTTGAGCAGCGCAACAGGCGGGGCAGAAGTGGTGCTGGTGGTGCTTGTGGAGGTGGTGGTGGTGGTGTGGGGCTGCGGCACAGTTGCACAAGCGTGTGAAAGTTGCAACAAAACGCCAAGCTCATCGATATTTGTTGTAGAATTAAATACTCAGCAACTTTAGACTTAACTGTGACCTGAAGAGCGAAATAAATCAACTACTAGCTGGGTATTAACGATCTGTCCAATCCGAATTGCTCTTCAGATTGTGACCAGACCAGAAGCAACAAAATTCTTCGCGTATAATTATAGTACTTTGCCGAAACTTATACAATTTTCCACTAGTCCCCTATTTTGTATTTGTATTGTATAAATCGCTCTAAATGAACAAGAATTTTGTTAAATGAAATAAACATTCTGATTTTCTACATCAACGACATAATAAAGATTTGTGAGATAATCTACTTTGCCAGAAAAGCTATGTTATTCAAGCGATAAAAGTTCTTAGACAAATCGACGGATATGTAGGGTGATTTTAATATTATAATGTAATATAAATTATAGTTTTAAATACTATATGTATCGACAGCATTATTGGTTGGTTTATTAAACAAAATAAAATAGAATACAAATGTATATGGTCTATCAAATGTTTTTCTTTTACGAGTGTTTCATCACTCACCTTGATCCAAACGCCTTTCCATGCGTCGCCATTGACGCATATGATGTATGAGTATGCAGGCGGCTACCGAGAAGAAGAGCAAACAGGCCAAGACGGCCATGAAGAGCAGGCCTGTTTGCCAATCCAAGGGCAAGGCCGCAGCCTCCTCATGCAACTGTTGCAGTTGCTCGTGCGTCAAATGCTGCAGCGGTACAGAATCGTGCTCGAAATGCTCATACTCTGACTTCCGGCGCTAGAAGCATAGATGAAGAATATTTATAAGTTAGGGATCACTGGCAGTGTGCTGGTGTTGTTGAAAGGGTTTCCCTATGTTCTTAAAAAATTTACCAACACTGGCATTCTCTTTGATAAATAACTAACTAGTTTCGCGAGCTTCATTTTCAATCTAATACACATTGCTCAACAATTGATGGCGTAGTTTTATTTTGATTTAAAATGAAAAAAAATTTTTTTTTTAATTTTCTTAAAATTCTGTAAGAATTCTGCATAAAAATGTCAAATCTGTCGTGTTATGGCCACAGCTACAGGCCGATTTCCAACAATAAAAATAAAATAAATATTTAAAAAAACCATTTCCGTATTCCATTTTAAATAAATTTATTTTTACCTAAATATAAGTAGTACACCCAAGAACTTAAATTCCTTCTTCTTATTTACTTCTAGAGGAAAGCAAAGCTAGAATTTTATTATTTCGTTCAATAAACAATATTGAAAAAATTCATTTTGGCAGGAAAGGTCAAACTTTGTGGTTTTGCTTGAACTTTTGCTAAAAGAAAGCATCCAAGTAGCTTATTCCATCTGACAATAATAACATATAAAATGTTTTTAATTTGTAATTTAAAAGCAAATTGTCCATCTAAGTATGACAGAAGAAAATGAGTATATTCGTAGATGTAATTATTAATAATTATCTAAACTTTGGTTTACAACCTTTTCAGACTTGCCCGACAAATTTTTTTAATCTTTTTCGATTCTTCTTTAGTCTGCCTTTTTTTAATAATGATGAAACTACATATATCCGAAGAATATGAACTGCTTTAAAATCAATATTTACTTAATAAATTGGTTTAAATGGTTTACATACTGAGGAGTTGTTAGCAAATAATATAGAATTATAATCATATGATTGGCTTAGAAACAGTTTACATTTTTAAATACTGGTGGCATCGAGGGTCCTTTCTACCCCCAATATTTGTAAAACATTTTCCCATCTGATGTTCCAGTGATGATGAGCAGAAATTACAGAATAACCCCAGGGGATTTTACACCCTCGTTTAATATTTTGCAAAATGAAAAATACTGGTTCGTGATGTTTTGTCAGCAAGCAATATTTCTTACAAGGAAACTCAAAATCAACTTCCTTCCAAATAGCCATAACAAACTAAACCACTTTGATGTCAAATGAGATGCAATCAAGCGGTTTTTAGGATATACTAAATGTATATTAGATGGGAAATTCACCTTTAAAGACCGTGTTCAATACATTAGTAAAAAAAAATGAATGTATTAGTTCGTGTATTGCACCCACTTATAAATAGGAATTAGTTTTATAGGTTTTTTTTTTTTGTATAATTTTTCCCACTGTACATTTGTTGGGGCAAAATTGAGCAGTCGGAAACTATGAATTTTATTTGCAATTATATTTTATTAAGTCTTCTTCTTCACAATGTCATTGAACTCCAACTACTAAACTACTGACGCTTACCAGGGTAGCCAGCTTATAAAATATGAGCGTCGATAATACTATCGATGTAACGCATAATAAATTCAAAAAGATGCAATGTTTAGCGACAACACTGTTTACTGTGGTTTTACTTTTTATATTTCTCCATTTTATGCATTTAAGATAAAATGCCTAACTTGCCTGTACTCTTCGCATTAAGATATCTTAACCTCACTAGAAGTATCCATTATTATAAGTATTGAATTGAATTCTCGCATAAAGACAACAAATTTCCTATGCAGATCAATTTTCCAACCTGTCATTTGTTATGGGATTTGAGTTGATGTTTCATCCAAAATAAAATACTAAAAATTATCTCTAATTCTTTACCCCACCCATAAATACCTAATATTATAATGAAATTGAAATCGGACCAATTAAATAAATTTTGATAGACGAAGATTTCAGTGTCAGTGCAAGGGTCTCACCTCCTTCCAGTTGGGTTCGGTCTTGGCCAGCACCACCCAGTCAATGTTCAAGTCGTAGATGGAGCCACAGATGGTATCGCGATGCAGTTGGCAGGGACGCAACGGTATCATTTCACCCTGGCATTGGGTGCAGGGCATGCATTTGTCCTGCACAGGATCCCACCAGTGGTTCGGCTCGCATGGTGAGCTGGCGGAGGCGCACAAGGAACAGGCGGTTGTGGAGAGCAGCAGGAGGGCCATATAGGCGGTGGCGCGACTGCAGCATCTGCTGCTCAAGATGTTGAAAGTGTGAAATGCATTTTGGAGCAGTGTTGGTTGACTGCATCTGGCTGTTGCGCTTCTCGCTGCTATTGTTGTTGGAGATGTTGCAGGGATTGCTATTGTTGTTGCTGTTGCTGCTGTTGCTGCTGCTGTTGGTGTTGGTGTTGGTATTGATGTTTCTGTTGCTAATTCTGTGTGGTCGTCAGCCACGTTTAGAATTTGGCTGCGCCTTCGCCTTCGCTTGCTACGCGTTGTGTAAAAATGTGCCTCCATAGGTGCGTTTAATGTTGTTGCTATTAGTGTTAAGTTGTTGTTGTTGATGAAGTTATTACTACTGCTGTTCGTTGTTAGTTTCGTTGTAGTTGCTGCAGTTGCTGCTGCATTATTTTGCTGCTTATCTGTAAGAAGAACAAAATAAGTATCAAACACGAGCTACTCTTAGGAATTTATCTTCGTCTTAAGCGTTATAGTTATATAGTCTATAGAGTGTACCATTTGCATGTATAAAAGAAATCAAGCATACAGCCTACTAAATACTATATATCTTCGACTGTCTTCGTGCTTTCTAACAATTGTTTGACAGCATTCTAATCTGATTTTTACTTGGTCCAACTTTGATTCGTCTCGCCATTCTGCCTCATTGATGTGTACAAACGGACACACCAAAAACAACATACCCTTACGCTTTTCAGTCTAGGGTATAATAATCAAAAGCACATAAACATTTGCAAGCTGCCCGGCTACATTGTTTTATTATAGTTAATGGCCCAATCCCCCCCCAATCCACATCTTATGTTTGGCCGATGTTGCATTTTCCCAGGCGCAATTCACACACTCAGACAATTGCCAGCGACTTGGAGCCAGCAGGGTGCCACCCCACCCCATCCCAGTGCTCCTCCCATTCCATTTTTATTTTTATTGATATAGAGTAGCCATCTAATGGCAAAAGGCGAAAGGCATAGAAGATGCGTGCAGGCCCATAAAATGAAAAAGCGCGCAACGGCAAACCAATAAACGCTCATGGTAATGATAATGCTGATAATAATGCCCCATCATCAGCATAATGGTGACCATGATGATGATCATCATCATCATTTAGTGGCCTGTCCAGCTCATCATAAATGCGTACAGTTTGTAATCAACTTTAATGTCAACGGGGTGCTTTGGCAGTGCTGCACAGTGTCGCAAAATATTTGCATAGATCCCAGATTTCTTTTTAAAGGCCAGTAAACATACTGCTGCCTATAAAAAAAAGCAATTAGTCTTAGATAGACTTCGATCAACAATTATTGTGTTTTATGAGCATTCTCTCCATTGAAAGAAAGAACAATAATTCTTGATTCTCAATACAAAGAATTGTTTTAAAGATCACTTCGAATTATTAAGGCTTTGGAATGTATGACATTATTTTTCAAAACCTATAACCGATTATTTATTTACCTTTTCGCTGAAGTAGCCCCCCGTCTCTTCTACTTTGTCGGCTCCAATCAATGGGCATTCGAATATTCGCAACCATACCACAATACTAAACATCGAAACCCTGGTATGGCTGCATCGGCGGCGACTGAGTCTCGCCAATAAAATGACTTGCCGCTGCAGCTTGATTCCTTTACCGACGATAAACTCAATAGCATACAATTATTATTTATGCAGCGAATGCGCCTGCGCGGCGTTCGGAGGACCGCGAACGACTCCGGTCAGAAAATAGACAACGGGGGGGCAGAAGCTTGCGTGTGGTTTCGTTTCCGTTTGGCTTCCACTTGCAACTCGAATGCGTTTTTTATGGCTCTTTGGCTGCATTGGAAATTGGACAGTTGTTGTTGCAGCTAAAGCCGTTTAGGGACTGGGGAAGGCCCAACTAATTAGCGTTGCGGACGCATTCATATAATATCTCTGCATTGCAAATGACTTATCAATGGCTATTGAACAAGTCGGTGGCAATGGACTTCATAGAACTAGGAGCTTCAGAGAGCTTCATTCTTTATATATTTATAAACATGAAGCTTGCAAATCGGCCATAACTTTATACGCCTTGGCTATTTTGGCTTCTCTCATGTACGAGTACGTAAGTATATGGATTTATGTGTGTTTATACTTTTGGAATGTGTTTGTACTTGTTTTATCGATCCGCGAGATATTGCGCAGCAATTTTTTTGTTGAAAGCTTCAATCATCCTCAATACCGAATGTTGAATTTCCAAAATGCAAAATGTTGCGAAATGCTTCCAAAAATAAATTTTCCGCACATCCTAGTGTAGCGAATTAAGGCTTGCGAATTGTGTCGATAGTAAATACTGAAGGTCGTGCGGAATATTATAAGATATGCTGTGTATAAGAATTTCTTTTATATTTTTTATCACGGTAGTTTTTATTTATCAAATCTTAATCTAATATACATATTTAATTAATTACAATTAATTATTTAGAGTACGGCCCTAACTATTAGTGCTGGATGGGGAGGTCTCTTCGCCGGAGTCATCTTTAACAGATCATACATTTAAATCCTCATTAATACACCTAATTCTGTTTTTACACTGTATTTCTTACAGGGTTTTGATTTAGCACGGTTTGAAAATTAAAAATTGTATTTATGGTTACACGACATTATCCCGATTTAAAATAACATATGCTTAATGTCTTTTTTACACGACTTTTTGTGGAACCAATTTACCGTATCAGTATCTTCGATTGAGCTCTTTGCTTTATTTCTAAATTACTAATGCAAGCGTTTTCGCAAATGTTTAACAATCGAATGCTAAGTATCAACATCATTGCAAAAAATATTCTTAAATTCTTAAGATTTTTCATTTACTTTTTTTAATCTTTTCATTGCTTTGTCAGACATTTAGTTGCAAAATATCTAATTCTTAGAGGCCGTTAGGGTTACGATATGATAAATGGAAATTTTATTACTCTATTAACTTTGATATTTCAAATAAAAACTCTCCTTTCCCCACTTTCCCGATGCTGATAACCAAACAAATGGCGTGTTGCCAAAACCGAAACTGTGCTGATAAAAGAGAAGAAAACTATCCACATACTATATATACTACATGTATGTATGTCTGCACATTAGTATGTATGTATGTATACACGTGTAATTATATATGCGTGACGTGCAGATTTGTGCTTTTTCGATGAGTCGTAATTGAGAGAAGTAGCGTCGAATTGAGATTCTCACAGAACATTCTCCACAATAACAATAATTCCCAGTTACTACTTATATACCTATGTATATACTATATACCCTATATGCCCATCTATCATAATGGCCCATTATTTGTATATATTATAGATGGTACTCCATAGCTTACGACTAGCAACAACATTCTCAGTCTGCAGATTGCTTCAAATGTATTTCTAAATAAAAATAGTTTAATGCAAAACCCCTTCTTGTATCGTATCGTTAAAATGTGAACTATCGTTTACATATGAATATATAGTGTAGTGATCGGACATGGTCGGCCTCAACATATTACCTGTGTCCACCTGGGACACCTGGGAGATTAGAAGTGCACGGTACAGACGTTTCGTTCGATTCAATCCTTCTGGTATAGTATGTACATATATATGTAGCATATAGTATGTATGTATGTCCCTACTGGCATTACAAAGTTAGACACCAAACACATATACCCTTACACGTTTCAGTGAAGGGTATATTGATTACGAAAGGCAGCCCACAGAGCAATGACAGAACTATAAATACAACTGCAATAACAAATACAACAACAACAACAAGAACAACTGTAAGAATACATAGCTAGAGCGACAGCGAAAATAATGGAAACAAAACAGGAAGAAGAAATATTTAATTAAAATCAACCATTATGGCCACCGGCACCGTAAACTGTGTTGAACCAGCGACAAGCTCTGACTGACAAACTGACAGACGGACAGACTGGCGGACTGGCAACCTGATCGGCTCAGCATGCTGAATGAAATGCAAACTGTGTGCGGGCGGCTATGTATGAAGCAAGTTTTATGGATTTATGAATGGATTATGCATGAAGCACAACAAGTTGGAGAAAAAAGGGAGATATTTGTACATACATATATACGAGTACGTACGTATGTATGTTTGTACTCCAATGTAACGTCGGCAAGAGAGCGTTGATCATTGATGTGCTACCAGAACTGCTGATATATAAATTAGCAAACGTGCCAATCAATCGGAAAATTTGGAAGCCTCCAATTGTTCTTGTTACACCCAGAGAAAAAATTTAGATAGATAATAGGACTTCAATCAATCGCTAAAAACTTAACAAATATCCTCATCATTACAGACCACAAGAACCTTCTATTTTGTAATCTCAAGTGTTTTTGTTAATATGGGTAGGTCCTGGCACAACATGCCTCTTTAAAGATATTAAATAATGATCAGAAAACTGAAGACTACTTGTATAATGACCTCGAAAATAAATTCAAGAAGAATAATGCGCTTAAAATTTAACCAAATTAATTTCAGTTTCATAAAAACAATACTATACCCATTGCACCTTTTAGGTCCTGGTCCCTTATATAAATAACTAACAAATATTTTTTTAAATCCCGTCTCTTCATTAAAGCCTTCCAGTGATCATTTTAAATCGTTATTAATTCAATCGGTTATCATAGATTTTTATCTTTCTGGTGTTGAGCAAATTATAAAAAAATATACTCTATATATTCGAACTAAAAAAATACATGATCAGGGGATTTCAACTCTTTAATGACCAAAATACCACTTTCCTGCTTAATTTTGGCCTCCGAAATATAAATAACGTCGAAAAATATAGTAGAGTGGAGGAACTTTTTATTTACTTTCTATCCGAAGCATTTATACCCTTGGCAGAATATATGCATTTCATTCATGCATTTTGGCACGGAAATTAGGTTGCATCTGGAATTGTGAGTGTGGGCAAAACTGCCGCGGAAATTTTGGCCAAACAGTGCCACAGTGGTTGGAAAGTGCTGACATTTGAAATACCTCAGAGATACTCAAATCGATATCTAATATTTTTGTTGATCCCATTTCTCTACGTGTAGGGCTTAGGTGGCCGTGGCAGCAGAAGCAATGCGCGCGGCGACGGCGACGGCGAACATCTGGGTACGGGGTTGGGCTCATTAGCATTGGGCAATGGTCAATGGTTGCTGATTGTTCGGCTGGTCACGCAATTGATATCGCTGGCAATTACAATCGATTTGTATTGAATGCGACAAGTACAAGACTGGCGACGACTTACAACTCGCGGAGCACAACTCTCCCGACTTCAGAGCTCAAACTATTCACCTGCAAGCATTCACATGCATTTTAATTTCAAATGAACTTCCAATCGGAAGTTGAATTTTATGGCACTTCCTATGCATGGCCAGACAGAAAGAAAATAAACAACAACAATAAAAACAATGGCCCAGAA